ATCCAAATACAAGGTTGTTTACCAAATACAATGGTAAAGAAACAATGTCAAAGGGTTAAAAATGTGTAGGAAAGATCTTTGAGTAAGGTAGACAACTCCTAGTTACTAAATCTCTAGCAAACCATCCTTGCTATTTTCAAAAACATACACACAATTTCAAAACAATTTTCCAACAAACTTTCAAACATTGAAACATTTTTCAAAAGACAAAACACCTTTGTATACATTCAAACAAGAATCATTACAAAGGTTGCCTAAACAAAGGCCTCTTTTCAAAATACTTTCAAAACCACACACAAAAGCACCATTTCAAACAATTGAAAAGCAAAAGCAAGTGATCTAAACAAGTAACTAAGAGCCCATGGAAAACCATGGATTAAAAGGGTGCTAGCACCTTCCCTTTTCATAATCTACCCCCCGAACCCAAGAAAACATCTCAAAGGTCTTTCCTGTGCTTTTTGACCTTTCCTTTGGATAAAATAAAAAGTCGATGGTGACTCTTGCTAAACCAAAACATTTGCGAACACAAACGCAAAACCTCAAGTCAATTTTCCCACCGCATCACAGGGGGCATGGCCAATATGGTTGTCCCAGATTGCTTTCCCACCCCTATTTATACACGTATCTCCCTATTATATATGATTTAGGGGTCTTGATACCTTTCAAGCTGTTTGAACCCGAGTTTCAAGCGACTTCAAATGTCACTTTTTCTCAAGTTAAGCACAACATCTAAAGTATCGTTAGGGAACTCGAAACTATATGATGATGGTTGGAGAGTTTTTCCTACCATTAGGGTATTATTATCTTTCTATGGCATCAAAATCAACATATGTGGCATCAAAATCATGGTCATCTTCCTCGTGAGATACTTTCAAGCAGGCTTCATCTTCTTCACTGGAAGAAGATTATTCTGAGGTTCTTTCTGAATTTGACTCTTCTTCATTTATGGAGGTTTTATTATCTCTTTTTATCTCTAATATTACACTAGATAAGGCTTCTTCTTCATTTCCTCTCACAGCTGAAGTTCCTTCATTTGATTTTGAATTCTCTAAATATCGTTCAACTACTAAGTATGTTTTTTTAAGGAGACCATGAGAGTTGTTTAATAGAAGTTTGATGAAGTTGTCGAGGATTCTTCAAGTTTGGAGATCATGCCTTCAACTTTAAGCAATTGAATTAATTCGTATAGCTCTCTATGATTTCTTCCTTCTTAGATTTTTCTTTAGATTTATAAACACTCCCATATTTTGATTTAAGAATAAGATCAGATTTTCTGATTCCGATTCTTAACTCTTAGATATTTTTTAGTAACAAACTTTCCAGTATAATTTCTAACCTTTCTAAATTTGGATAAAGATTTATGAAAGGTGCATTCATATTATTTTTCATGTGTGTTCATTTGCTCACGTTCAATACTTAAAGAAACTCCGTATATAATCTCAAGAATATCCCACATTTTTTGCGGATTTACAAATATGAACATGAAGGAGTTTACTAGTATCATCTAAAGACATTACTAGAAAATTATTTGTTTCTAAATCAATTTGAAATTTTCTCTTTTCCTCTACGGGCCAAAGGAGATCGGGTTTATCTATTACTTCTCCATTCATATGGTGAGTATGGATAAACACACACTTGATCATTATTTCCAACAATTCCAAATCAATTACTTTAGATGAAAATTTTAAATCAAGATTTCTATAGTTCAAGCCTAACACCATTAGACAATGGATGTGTGTTTATGAAAGATCTCTTTTTAGAAATGGTGTTGGGAGCCATCTTCCTCTTGAGACTATTAGTCTTTGAATAAGAGTTAAACTTTGATGACACTTGTTGGACATTTAACTTCAAACACAATAGAGGGGTGACTTGTGAGGGTTTGAAAAATAGTAGTTTAAAAACTTATTGTTTTCATTTTCAAGAGTTCAAAAACATTTTTGTTAAAAGTGTTTGAATAAAAGAAACTGAGAGATAAAATCAGTTAAATAAATTACATAAACAAAAGAGATAAGGGTAAACATGACACCATAAATTATAGAGGTTCGGTCTAAATGAAGTGACCTAATCCTCTCCCCAATGCTTGATCTTGAGAGTATCTAGTAATTCTTATAAACTTTTAATAGGTTAAGCTTACAAACCCTCATATACAAAAAATGAAATTTCAGGTTAACTTCCAACCAAACAACAAACAACAGAGAGAAGTAGTTAGTCTTTCTTCTAAATACGAACTTGAAGTGGTTGCTCCTCAAGCTTAAACTGAGATTTTCAATGGACTTATCTTGAAAGCGGAGTTTTGAACTGGCTTTCGTCCGAACTGAAGTTTTACACATAATGACCATGAATTGAGTTGAAATTTTACACCAGACTAATATCAAACTAAACCGGGGTTTTATACAGACTGACCACGAACCAAGTTGAGATTTTACACTGGGCTGATATTGAATCAAGTGGAGCTTTTTCACAAGCTGAGCTCACTAACCGAAATTGAGACTTACTACTAAATCCCAAAACCAAAATTTTAACAGGTTTAGCTTTGAACCCAAATAAACACTACCTTAATAGAAATTATTTAACCAAGAGAAAAAACCTCTTGGTGAATTTACAATATCATTCTTTTCCAAAATACAAAACCTCACTTAAACACAATTACTTTCTCGAAGCACTATACCTAAATTAAAGTGAGAGAAAATAACAAATATTTTTAGAGAAATAGAGTGGGGAGTAAGATAGGGAACTCACATTTTTGGATGTTGAAATGTGAAGGGAGGTACCTCTATTTATATGCTAGAGGTTGACACATAAAAGGATAAGATTCATGTGCCAAATTGTTGATCCAATGGCCTTAGGCCAATCGATTGGGTGCCCCCAAATAATCGTCTGCAAAGACTCAAAATGAAAATAATGGATATATAGATGTTGCCCTTCATTAATTCATTGTCATAATCTTGTATGGATAATGTTTGCACTGACCCAATCAATTTGGTGCATGTACCCATTGATTGGACAATTTAAAAACTTTTCCAAAACTATTATGATACTTGTCAATTCATATGACATGGTTTCAAAATATTTTTAGAATATTTTCTTTGAGAAATAGAGGCTTTAAAACATGTTTCAGCGTGTGTGTGATTTGGCTATATAATTTTACGAGAATGTCCATGTGTTTATACAAAATTCGATCACTCAGACGCGACTGAGCAAACTTTCACACTTCCTCTGTTTCATACTTTGAAGCTCAAATCTTGCCAAATAAACCAATCACATAAGCATTTGCTTTAATATTCTTGGAGATGAGACTTGAGATATCTTCAAGTTTAATACCGTTATTAGAGGATATAGATCATCAAACAACCTTAGTTCACCTGCTTGATTCAGAGGAAAAGTTTTGAATACAACTATCTTGTGCATCTTTAACTACTTAACATATAAGGTTGCATCTTCACTAGTTGTCACCTTCACAAATTGTCATCTTTATAAGTTTACATTGATGAAATCGAGTTGCTATCATTAAAAGCATATTATCAAAAGTAAACCATGATAATCGTCTTTATCTTTAATTACTTATTGAATTACCTACAAAATATGGTTCCACACTCTGTACCTCTTTGTTGTTTGTATGAATAAATTATCTTATCGTATTTTTCATAGTTTGAGGCAAGACTTTAGAAAATAATGAAGGCAAGTATAAATGATTCTCTCATATCCCACTTGATGTTTGCAAATGATCTTTTATTATTTGGTCAAGCTACAGATGTTTAAATGTAGTGTGCTCGATATTGTTAATCAATGTTTGACTTTTTTCTGGTCAGAAAATGAGTATTGATAAAACAAGTTTTATTTTCTCTAGAAACACTTATGTGTTTGTTTATTGTAAATTGATTGTTATGTCTGACTTTCATGAAACACAATGCTTGGAAAGTATCTAGGTATCCCTCTCCATGGTAGAACACCATTTGAAGTAATGAACAACCTCTTTGTTGTGAAATTGTGTGTGGCAAATATACGAGGAACACGATTGTTAAGAAAAATGATTCATGTTTGTGGAAGAACCTCGATAACATGTGACCTAAGTTTGTGCAATTTGCGTATTCTATATGAAATGGTGAAAATATAGATGTCTGATCTCATTGTTAGGTTGAACCAGGTATGAAGTTGATGAATATTAATACAAACGGTGTCAATACAACTTCTTATCAGCATTTGGAGGACTTATTGGATCGACATTATTAATGAAATATGAATATTTTAAAGCATTTGTTTCCTCAAAATGTGGTAACTAAAATTTTTATTTATTCTCCTTCCCGATGGTAATAGTGGAAGAGATATTTGTTGTTGGCCAAACGATAAAAAATGTGAGTATATTATTTCATCAAGTTATAAATTAACGTATAATTTTAATAGGCAAAATGACAAAGATAATTGGAGCTTTATATGAAAGTTTAAAGTCCCTGGACGAATAAGGACCTCTATTTAATTGGTGTATCATGGTAATATAATGATCCATAAGAAGAAAAATAAAATACAATTAGGAGGGTCTTTTTGTAATCATTGTAGAACATATGTGAAATCTATTATACATGTCTTTAAGTGACTTATGACTTTTACTATTTGAACTAATGTGATTAAGTTGGATATGAGAAACTTTTTTCACTTGTAATACTAAGAAATGAATGACTACAAATTTACATTTGAATGTTGATATTAATGGAGATCCGTCATAGACAGAATTTCAGACAACATGTTACCATAGATACATTTTGGATGTAGAAGAATAAGAAACAAGGAGAATTTATTGAGAAGTAGAATTTGGTGGCAGCATGTTACTAAAAGAAAAATGTATTATAAAAGTTTTATAAACATAAAATCATGTTTAATAATGAAGGAAGAAAGAATGAGTTTGCATCTGATACACCTTCCTATCTTAGAACCAGAATCTCTCTCTCGCACTCATTCCTCCTCACTACTTCCCACACCTTCTTTCTTCCTCCATCTTCAATCTAATGTGGAGTAACAACAAATCAAGAACAATGCATCATCAGCAGCATCCACTATGCACACGCACGCACCAGATCGGGTCCTTACTCCTAGTCGCCGCCACCTTCTTCCTCACAAGACTCTTGGACGCTCCTTGCAACCTCTCCTCCACCGTCTCGCAACAGAAATTCCTCGGGATCCACCGGTTACCGGAATCGGAAGAATTTTCGCTCAAGATCTATGTCTACGATGCCAAAGAGATCGATGGATTGAAGGAACTTTTGCAAGGAAGAGAGGGTAAGATCACACCGGAAGCTTGCTTGAAAGGACAGTGGGGTAGTCAGGTAATTTCACCCGCACTAAACCTCCCTAAACATAGAACACTATAGACATCGGTTATAATTTGTGAAAATGAAAGTGATTGAATGTAACTGCATTTGTAGTTTGTGAAAATGGAAGCAATTGATATGTAGCGCCGACACCTCTGAAAAAATGTGTGTCAGGGTTCGAAACCGACACTGACACTTGTGCTTAGATTAATTTATTCATTTTTTCAAATTATCACAGGTGACAATGTATCGGTGTCGTGTTTCTTGTATCCGTGTTTTATAGATTGAATATAATTGCAAATATGTCATGTCAATTTCAATGTTCTGACACACTGTTTATTTGAAGTGTGGGTTGCTATATAGGTTGCAACCATTGATATCGCGAAAATCGCTGTCGAATTTAGTTGACAGAGTTTGAATTGGATGTTGCCTGAATTGCGGTTGCGGTTATGGAGATATAGGTTAATGTTGTATTTTGGGATGATTTTAGAAATTTCGCTAATTAGTACTTTTGTAGGTGAAAATACACAAGTTACTTTTAGAGTCAAGATACAGGACGAGAAAGAAGGAGGAAGCGGATTTGTTTTTTGTTCCGTCGTATGTTAAATGTGCGCGGATGATGGGTGGACTTAACGACAAAGAAATTAATCAAACTTATGTTAAAGTAAGAGGATTTTTCGTTTCTTCTATTGGAATTGAATTGATATTGATAATGTTGTAAATGAGTCTTAGGAATTACTTAGCGGAAATTCTGTCTGTGATGATATTAGGTTATTAGCCAAATGCCGTATTTTCGGTTATCTGGAGGAAGGAACCACATATTTGTTTTCCCAAGGTAATAGTGCTGGTGATGATTTTATTTTTGTATTGTGAATAGCAGGTAGTGGCCGTGTTTAATAGGTTAATGCAGATATGAATGTTCATGTTATCTTTTTAGATTTAGACATTGGTAAAGTTACCTATTAGCTAATATAATTGCTTTGTTTTCAGTGGAGCTGGAGCTCACTTGTTCAAGTCTTGGGCAACATATATAAATCGCTCCATTATTCTTACCCCTGAGGTGAACTTTTACTTTTCCTCGTAGTGTTATAGGTTTTATCAAAGGTTTTAAATTATGGTTGCTGGCGTGATGAAAAACATGGCAAAGTGGCTAGTTAGGCTGTAATCATAGTTGTGGATATCAGAAATCTAGGTGTCTATTAACCAAACAATAATGTCTATTAATTTAGGAGATGAAATTATGTAAAGTTTGAAACAATCTGAAGAAAAAGTAACAGATGTACTGTAAGGCATGTGAAACAGCACAGATATAAGTTATAACAATGAGGCGATACTTTAAAATACCTTAACCTTCATTTTCACAATGTTGGTTTTCATTTATATTTGTCCTTTCTTTACATTGCACTAGAGGAAAAAGTTAAAAGTTTCCACGAACTCAGTACTCCTTTGATTTAATGAATATAACGTTCATCTGTCCTGACCTTGGAGTCAAGTTGGAAGGCAGTGTTAGTTGTTACAGTATTCAACTATTCAATGCTATTTAGTTAAGATAGGGCCTTGTAGAAAAAGCTGATGGAATAGCTCTGTTGTCAATAGCGGTCTGTAGCGCTGCTATAGCGGTGGAGCGGATCAGAGGGTGTCTGCCCCTTTACGCCTTGTAGCGTTGCAGATGGGTTTAAAATCAAGGCAGAGAAGCTAGAGGTAGTTAGATGATTGATAAGTTAGTTTTTGGTTGTAGACCAAGTTCCTTGATTCCTAGGAAAGACGCTGTTTCTCATTCTTGCTCTTAATCATGAATTCCCGTTATTCAAAAGTTGGAGGACAATACACAGTAAAATTTCTTCATATTTCTTCATAATCGATCACTATATTCTGAACTACAAAATCTCCAATATTAGAGCTCCCCAAATACCCAGAGCTGTTTGTTGTCTGTTCAAGAAAGGAGAAGAAAATGCTTTAAGACTTATTGAGAGTGCTAGCTAGCTTAAGTTGTGTTCAAGGAGGAACATACAGATGAAGGAGATCTTAGGGAGGATGATGGGGATTTGCAATCATGGCAAGTTACAGTTATCCAATTCCCATCATATAGATTATTTGTTGTTTGAGTGAACTACTACCCCAAGGTGGCAACCAGCTCACTTGTCTTTTCTAAAGAATTAAATAGTGAAAGGGCCAACAGGCAGGGAGCTAATCTTTCTATCGTTTTCAGAATGGATAAGGGACCCAAAAGGATGGAACATCATCCACCACATTTATGGATAGGAAAAATATAAACATGTTGTATTGGATGCTGGTCTATTTCCCAGCACAAGAGTTCATGAATATAAGATGTGGAATGATGTAATTGTTCAGGCCCGGAGCTGTTGCTGGATCGAAAAATGAATGCATGGTATTATTTCACAGGGACTAGTCCCTGAAGTATTCACTTTGATGTATTGAAGTCGTCAAGGGAAGATTTGTTATTCTACCAGAGAGGGTTTTTGCTAGAGTTAAATTCTGCTCCACCATAATCAAGAAATTTAAGACAGTGGTTGAGATATTGAATGCAGAAATGGATGAATTTTTTAGCAAAATTGTGAGGCAAAAGGGTGGACAACAATATCAAGCTAAAAATAATTCAACTCCTCAACAAATTAATGTTACCCTTCAAGCATAGATTTGTGTTTACTCTTTCAACAACAGGACCCAGGTGGGAGTTTTATGGCCATGCCAGTTTTGGATTTTTGTACAAAAAACCTATAGGATACAAAGCAATGCTGATCATCTGGCTAGGGCTACAACATTGTACTGTTAGGGACAGGACCTAATTAGCAAAGCATACACCAGATGGGTAAGGACTCAAGTGGGTGAGGCCCTCTAAGTTAGGAATTGTTAGCGAGTTAAGAGCGGGACATATATGGAAAGCTAGTAGGACAGAAAATTAGTCAGGTTGTTATAAGTAGATGCAAAAAAACTAGAGGTCTGTAGGTTAGTTAGTTAGCTTAGAATGGGAGAGAGTACGCTCTTGAGTTCCTTGGCAAGATGCCAATGTGTCTCCTTCTAACTCTTTTCACCCTAAATAACCATTGATTTGGAGATGGAGATATATACAGCAAAATTTCCTTATTCTTTTTCATTCTAAGCTGATCTCTGTGCTGAACAAGCTGATCAACCGGTGCAGTACTAGATTGTTGGGCCAACAGTTGATTTTGGTTTCCTAGGTGGCCAGATGTGTCCTTAGAAATGCCTGATAACCCTCTCTTATCGCTGTAGCATTGCACAAAAACACGGTCCTCTGTACTGGTGGAGGCTATTAGTGTTTAAGAATATTGAGAAACTGGAAGGACTTTAAACTGTTTCTTAGTATGAGTTATTAGAGAATCCACATATATAATACAAGATTCGTAGAGACTCTGACTGATGCCTAAGCTGTAACTTACTCCTAATAGCTTTTAACAGAACAGATACTAGTACTACAACTAACGCTGCATAAGCTCTATCGATCTAAAGAAACTAAACACTAGTTCCTATACATATAAAACTCTTAGAGTCGTTGCTTAAAAAACTAATGCTCTGTACTAATATGAGAAAATGATCCTCTTAAATGAAAAATCGGTATGCCAGAATGAAAAATCAATCCAGAAATTAACATAGCCTGCTATTTACGAAAATGCTGATGTTGAATTCCGTAATGTTGCTATAGCTGTTCTGGTGAATTATAAAAAACTTGATATTCCAAAACCTTTATTCTTGGCTAAATTATGGTTTTAGTCCTTATCTTTATTTAAGTTTCAATTTGGTCTCTCTTTTTGATTTCTTTTCTGAAATGGTCCTTTGTTTTGCAAAGGTGTGCCAATGTGGTCCTTTCCATTTAAATTATGGTATGAAGACCGCTTTGATATAACACTTAATAAATAAGGGGCCGTTTTGCAGCAGAAAAAAAATCATATTGGTATAACACTTTATAAATAATAGGCCATATTGGTATAACACTTTATAAATAATAGGCCATATTGGTATAACACTTTATAAATAATAGGCCATATTGGTATAACACTTTATAAATAATAGGCCATATTGGTATAACTTTGAAAAGAAAGACTCTGTTTCTGAACAAGAATAAAAGAGAAAACAAATTGAAACCTAAAATGAAGATAAGGGATCAAAAGTACAACTTAACGTTTATTGTTTTATTTCTCCATACTGTCCCTTCATATTTTTTAGTTGAAAAATGTCTATATTCTTATAGCTTAAAAATATTTGAGCTTGAGTCATCCAAGAACATAATGGTTAAATGCATGAAGTTGTCATTAAAGGTTATCTGTTCTTAAAGTTTGTTTGTTGGCTATTTAATGTAGGGGGACCGCACTGATAAGAGAGATACTAGTGCCTTTAATACATGGAAAGATATAATCATTCCAGGTAATGTCGAAGATGGTATGACCAAGGCTGGGTCTACCATAGTCCAGCCTTTGCCTCTGTCTAAGCGGAAGTACTTGGCAAATTATTTAGGACGTGCTCAAGGAAAAGCTGGGCGTCTTCAGCTAATAGAACTTTCAAAACAATTTCCAGAGAAGGTATGTCATCTTCAATAGTGACCGATTAGTTCTATGAGTGAAGTTTTTTTATCAGCAGAATACTGTCTTACAGAATTGTTTTTATTTGAGTTCTACAAAATGAAAATATCACCTACATTCAACGTAAAAATCAATCAAGCTGATGGCTGATTGATAGTTATCTCCAATAGTGTTTAGTTCAGGAGTGAAAATTCAACTGAACCAGAAACCAGTTTGGTCAAACTGAACTGTTTTTGATACACCCCCGAACTGATCTCACTGGAACTTTAGTTCGGTGGTTAACAGTTGAACCAAACTGACTACACTGACTAGCACTTGATTTATTCAAACTAAATTGCTATCAGCCAACATAAAATGTAGTCCTCAGAAAATATCATTTTAATTGCATGGAATTGTTTAGATTGAATAGGATAATATATACAAAACGTACAAAGCCTGTTATTCCTTAATCTTGTTCTGTTTAGTCCTTTTTACTGATCAATAAGCATTATGCTCACCAAAATACAAACTATTTATAAAATGCAAACAGGATACTGAAGATAACAATACCAACATATAGCAAAAAATAATAAATATTGTTACAGGGCATCCCAGTACACAAGGCTTCAACTACATGCCCCAACTATAATTATATTTTGAGAACTTCCCCCTCAAGAACACTTCCGCATACAACAAGGACAAAAACAAAAAGAACAGAGTTCATAAATCTGAACATGCGAAAAATTTCCTTGCTTCCGTATTATAACCTCTTCACAAGCTGACAAATGACAGCATAGTTTCTGAAAAATTAAGAAGGAAAAATTTGTGCTTGATAAACTTGCTACTTTGCTAGGCATGTACATAAACCAGCACTTCACATCATTCTTAAGCAGTCTGATTTATCAAATTCCTATTATAACTCATAACAAAGTGTGGTCAGTGGTGACTAATGACTATTATGAATTTATAAATACAAAAACAAATTCCAGTGGAGTAGAAAACCCTTGGAGGTTTACTGCTATCACTAACATTAAAGAATGAATGCAGTGCTTAACGGGAAGCAGTATCTATAGACTCACATAGTGCACTGAGTTTCAGAAAAATAGAGATCCTAACAAGAAATACTTGGTCAAGTACATAACTATGAGAAACAGCTACATGACCATGAGATTATTTTGATACGACTTTTTTTTTAACCAATTATTTTGATAGAATTTAAGTTATATAATAAACTTAAATGTTAAATCTATGATTGGCAAGTCTGCAATAGACTAAATCCAACAGAAACAATGAAGAGCAATCTTTGTACGAAAATTGGGAAGAAATGGGAGCCCAACATTGATCATTAAGAATGTAGAAAGTTTGGTTTATTTGGATACCCATAGACCTAATTACATGATCGATTGTTGGTAACTGATTTCCATTAGTTGCAAAGTTCTGTAGTTTCTTTAGATTACATGTTAGTAATTTTGTTCAGATATTTCCTAGCAATTTCTCCTGTCATTGTTTTAAAAGGAGAATTATACTTGTTATAATTTACTTTCCGTTCAGAATATTGTGCATGTTCAAGCTAGTATTAGTCTTAAAGGTCATACAATTTGTTTTTATGAAGCATATATTGATGGTATAAAACAGTTGGAATGTCCAGATTTGAAATTCAGCGGAGGCGAAAAGCTGGGAAGGAAAGATTATTTTGAACACTTGCGCAATTCCAAGTTTTGCCTCGCCCCGCGTGGGGAGTCATCATGGACCCTTCGATTTTACGAGTCTTTCTTTGTGGTATGTTTATCCCCTCACTCTTTTTTTCTTTTCCATATAATCGGGCTTAAACAAGTATAAATAACCATGTATTTCCATTCGAAAGGAATGTGTTCCAGTTATATTATCAGATCAAATAGAATTGCCATTCCAGAATG